GTTGCAACAATACACTGACAGAGCACTGCCAGAAATTCAAGTCATATTCAAAAGAGGAAATGGAACTGCAGATATCATCACTGACATCAGCTGGATCTGAGCTGAAAGCAGAGAATGCCAGAAAGGTGTTTACTTGTGCATTACTACTACAAAAAGGCTTTTTACTGTTTAAATCATGCGAAATTATAGATAACTTTGCAAAGAACTAGGCAATCCAGAGCACCTAGCTGTGCTTATGAGGAACATGTACATAGACCAAGAGGAAGTTGTTAGAAGAGAACAAGGAGATGCTGAATAGTTTAAAATCAGGAAAGATATGTGATAGGGTTGTATCCTTTCACCATACTTATTTAATCAGTATGCTGAGCAAATACTTTGAGAAGCTGGATTATATGAAGAAGAACATGGCATCAGGATTGGAGGAAGACTAATTAACAATGTGTGCTATACAGAAAATACAACCTTCCTTGCTGGAAGCAAAGAGGATTTGAGATACTTGCTGATGAATATCAAAGACCACAACCTTCAGTATGGATTTTGCCTCAATGTAAAGAAAACAAAATTTTCATAACTGGACCAATAAATAATATCAGGATAAATGGAGAAAAGATTGGAGTTGTCAAGACCATCATTTTGCCCAGATCCACAATCAGTACTCATGGAAGCAGGAGTCAATAAATCAAATGGAGTATATGGCATTGGACAAATCTATTTCCAAAGGCCTTTTTAAAGTGTTTAAGAACAAAGAGATAAATTTGAAGATTAAGGTGTGCATACCCAAGTCATGGTATTTTCAATTGCCTAATATGCATATGAAAGTTGGGCAAATAATAAGGAAGACAGTAGAAGAATTGGTATATTTGAATTTTGGTGCTATAGAAGAATATTGAAAATACCCCGGACTGCCAAAAAACAAACAAACAAACAAATCTGTGTTGGAAGAGGTACAACCAGAATTCCTTGGGAGTCAGATGGTGAGACTTCATCTCTTAGACTTCACACATGTTATCAGGAGGAACCTGTCCATGGAGAAAGACATTATGCAGGGTAAAGGGAAGGGTCAGTGAAAGAGAGAAAGACCCCAATGAATTGACACAGTGGCGACAACACTGGGCATAAAGTAACAATTGTGGGGGTGGCACAGGACCAGGCAGTGTTTTGTTCTGTTGTGCACAGGGTTGTTGTGAGTAGGAACTGATTCAATGACACCTAGCAACAACAACAATGATTTTCTTCATAAAGTTATCCATAGGTTGCTATGATCCACAGTCGAATGTCTTTATATACTCAATAAAGCACAAGTAAACATCTCTTTTGTATTCTTTCTTTTCAGTCAAGATCCATCAGACACTAGTAATGGTACCCCCTAGTTCCATGCTCTCATCTAAATCCTGCTTGAATTTCAGGCAGTTCCTTGTTGGTGTACTGCTGCAACCATTTTTGAATTACCTTCAGCAAACTTTTGCTTGAATGTGATATTAATGATATTGTTCAGTGGATTGATGCAGGGGCTGTAACAATAGGCTCAAATATAACAATTGTGAGGATGGTGCAGACCTGGACAGTGTTTTGTTCCATCTTGCATGGGGTCACTATGAGTTTGAAGTGACTCAAGGGCACCTAACAACAACAACAACAACTATTTTCCAAATTCCTCTTCAAGGCTAGCATGAATTCTTTCTTTTTAAAAACTTTTTATTGTGAATTGAGTGGAAGTTTACAGACAAGATCATCAGTTTTACGTTCAACAAATCCTACACGTTGTTTCATCTCAATGACTGCAATCCCCTCCTTGGAAAAACAGTTCTCCTTCTTCCTCCCTGTGGTTCCTATTTGCATTCCACCCACATTCAAGTCCCTTCCTTGGGGAAAGCTTACCCTTTGGATTTGGAATGATTGACCATTCTATGGGATCATACCTTACTAGTGTTGTACCCACTATTTACCGATCTACTACTTGGCTGAAAATTGAGCCACGAGGGTGAATTTATTTCTAGACTTGAAGGGTGGTTGAAGGCCATATCCTGAGTTTCTTCCAGTCTTTTCTGACCAATAAGACAGTCTTTTTTGTCGTTTTTTAAATTTAGAGTTTTGTTCCATACTTTCTCCCACTCTATCTAAGACCCTCTAGTGCGATCCCTTATTCAATTATTATATCAATTTATAACATGAATTATTTCAATGTTAAAAGTTTTTCAGAAAGCAGAAATGTAACTCACCAGTTTTTCTGTGGGTTTTCTTTTCAGTACAATTAAGAAGGCCCCGGAATTAACAAACTGTTGTAAAGAATGAGCATCTTAATGAATGTCATGCTTAGCTGATGTTAAGAATTTCTTACATAATATACCTCCTTCCCCCTACTCCCCTATTTTATAAGCTCTCCTTCCCAGTTCACACTACCCTCAGTGCAGTAAGTAGGGTAAGATGTCTTGTATCACTGACCACAAATGAATAGTGGACAAAGCAATGGATCACAAATCTGCTTTGTTCTATATTTATCTTGGAAATGAAGTGTTTTTTTTTAATAAAAAAAATAATTTTGAACATGAGGTTTGATTTTTTAAAAAAATTTTATGGCTTGTATTTTCTTATCTCTTTTCTGTAGCTTTTATGACTTCAGTTTTGATATTATAGCCCTCTGATGTCAAATCAGTTCATACGTCATTAGATCAGAATTCATCATTTCTATAAGAAATGTCCCTCCTAATCATTAGAAGTCAAATTCAATTCTTGAATGGGAATGTTGTTGTTATGTGCCATGGAGTCGGTTCCGACTCATAACTACCCTGTACAGGGTTTCTGAGGCTGTAAATCTTTACTGGGAGCAGAAAGCCTCATCTTTCTCTCACGGAACAGCTGGTAATTTCGAACTGCTGACATTAAAGTTCGCAGCCCGATTTGTAACCAAGATGTATATCACTAACTCAGATGAATGACTGGGGAATAACTTAAACTAGATTTCTTTCTTTTTCTTTCTTTCTTTTCTTCCTTTTCTCTCTCCCTCTCCCTTCTTCCTTCTTCTTCTTCTTTTTTTTAAATTTTATTATACTTTTCAAAGCATATGACAAGTATCCCAATCTGTCAACTGAATCTACCTCATTTCATAATTAAGAATTTCTTAACATCTCCCTGGTTATTCTCTAACATCTCCATTCCCAAACCCCAACTAAACAAGCCTTAAAGATGGGTGAAATTGACTAGACTCACCAACATTGAACCCCAGAATGGATATCCTGAAATAAATATAAAGGGAAACCGTGGGTATGGTTCTACTAAGGTGAAAAACATGATGATTCCAAAAGAAAAGATCATCAATCCAAACAGGATCTGGATAGCCTGTGAACAGAGAAAAGGTCATTGTGAGGAAAAAGCAAAATGGTAGGTCCCTTAGATCTTCATTTGGTGGAACAGATTTGGCAGCTTCCTGTTTTGTAAATCAGGCAATCATAGTTGTTGTTAAGTGCCATCGAGTTGGTTCAGACCCACAGCGACCTTATATCTGAGGAATAACTGCAGTCTGGAGCATTAACTCACAGTTCCACAGCAGAACTCCAAGGTAATCATAGTAGAAGTCCCTTTATCATAGTCTCGGGCATATTTATAATCATTTTATCAAGAGTGGTGCTATAAGATAAACACTAGATTGCTAGCCTCAACATCAGCAGTTCAAACCCACCAGCTCCATGAGGCTCTCTCTCCCGTTTATAGTTTCAGAAATCTTCAATTGGGTCCAATTCAATCTTCAATATGAGTTGGAATCAACTTGATGAGTTAAGTCCCCCCCCCCCTTTTTTATAGGTTATCTGGTATTGGTGATAAGAAATGGTCTAAATCAATGTTCATGAACTAGAAATTTTAGCATCATCTGGGAATTAGTTTGGAAATGTAAAATTTTAGGTCTTATACTATATTTATATAGTTCCTTAGTGGTGCTGTGTATTAGGCATTGGACTGCTAACTGCAAGGATGACAGTTCAAATCCACCAGATACTTCACAGAAGAAAGATGAGGCTGTCTGCTCTCATAAAAATTTACAGACTTGGAAATCCACTATAAGTTGTTATGAGTCAGAATTAACTTGATTGCAGTGGGTTTGATTTTGTTTATCCCATACTTGGAATTCTTTAGAAGGTGCTAATGGTTAAGTGCTTGGTTTTTAACTGAAAGGTTGGTGGTTCAAATTCACCCAGACAAACCTGAGGAGAAAGATCTAGTTATTTAAGAATACCTCTGGTATCGTAGTGGTTACGAATCGGGCTGTGAACCTAAAGGTCAGCGGTTCGAAACTACCAGCTGCTCCGCGGGAGAAAGATGAGGCTTTCTACTCCCGTAAGGATTTATACCCTCGGAAACCCTGTAAAGGGTCGCTATGGGTCGGAACCGACTCAACGGCACGTAACAACAACAACAACAAAAACAACAACAACAACAAAAATAATCATAGCCATTGAAAACCCTATGGGGTGAAGTTCTACTCAGACACATATGCAGCCATAGTAAGTTGGAATCAACATAATGACAATTGGTTTGTCCCATACTTACTGAATAAAATATCTAGGTGGGGCTGAGAAAACTATGTCTTAGTAAACTCTTCAAGTAATTAATATGAATGCTAAAAATTAAAAAGCACTGACTTCTAAGTCACCATGCCAATCTAACTTCAAAGTGAAATTGTTTTCTTTAGAAAACTCTCCTGTAGATGATCTAATTTCCTGTACAGTTTTCACCTTTGTTGCTGCTGTTAAGTGTCACGGAGTCGGTTTCTAGAGACCTTACATAGGGTTTCCAAGGACTAGCCGGTGAGTTTGAACCACTGACCCTGCAGTTCAAACTGATCTTGTGGTCCAGTGCTTATCCTACAGTAGAATATATATATATATAAACAATATGGGACACCAAGTATATACCATTTATATATATATATTTAAATCGGGCTTTAGGTGAAAATTATACAGCAGATTAGAATTCATACTCACCAGTTCTTACATAAATTATTCCATGACATTGATTACAATTCCAGTAGTGTATCAATACTCTCACCATTTCCACCACACTGTCTCCATTTCCATCCATATAATTTCCCTGTTCCTCCTTGCCTTCTCAGCTTTGCTTCTGGGAAAATGTTGATTGCTTAGTCTCGTATGGCTGATTTTCTAAAGGAGCACATTTCTCATAGGTGTCCCTATTTATCTACTTATTTTTCCTCCCCTGTCAACTGTACTACAATACCAAATTGTCGTTTAGTGCTGTCGAGTCAATTCCAACCCATAGTGACCCTGTATAGGGTTTCCAAGGAGCAGCTGGTGAGCTTGAACCGCCGACCTTGTGGTTCAAATGGCTTTGCAGTCTGATGCATTAACCCACAGGGCCACACCAGGACTCCACAATACCAAGTTGTTAGTTGTTGTCAGGTGCCATCGAGTCGGAACCGACTCATAGCGACCCCATGCACAGCAGAAAGAAACAATGTCCGATCCTGGGCCAACCTCACTACCGCTGCCACACTTGAGTCCATCAATGATGTCACCTGGCCAATCCATCTTGTTAGAGGTCTTCCTCTTTTTCTCTGACCCTCCACCTTACCCAGCATGACATCCTTCTCCAGTGACTGTTTCCTCTGGACAATATGTCCAAAGTATGTCCAAAGTATACAATACCAAGTAGCAGTATGTTAAATGTCAGAGAAGACTTATGAACATTGCCTAAAGTAACACATAAACTATAAGGTATATAGAATATATAAAAGTATTACATAAAAAAAAATGGAAGATATATTCTTTGAAAGAATGTCCAAAGAAATGCCTTTAAATTTCAGCCCATTATTTGGCTTGAGCAATCTAATCTACTCTCATAACAATGATCAACTTTAGGTGATTCCTGAATGATACAATTTCTCTCAACTTCAGATCCTCAGATCAAATATCTCCAACTTGAATGTCTCACTACACCTTACATTCAACATGTTAAAAAAAAAAAAAAAATCTCTTTTTTACTCCTTTTAAAACTCATCTTCTTTCTGCCTTCTCTGTCTCTGTTTTAGGTACCATACTTTTCTTAGACTTGAAGTCCGATTGTCATCTTCATTTCTTCTAATGTTCCCCCAATCCTCAACAGTCAAAAAGTACCCAAAACTTCCTATTATTTCTACTTGCAATACAGAAGTATTTGACTTTTTTCCTTTACCTTTTCACACAGTTTTAGCCAATGTAGGAGCACTGATTTTGGACATCTTAAATCTCTCCTATATGGAGAGACTTATAGGTGGAGATATTTCTGACCTTTCTTCATGTACAATGGATGAGTTTCAAAGAAAGAAGTAAAACATGAGAGTCCAGTTCTAGTCTCTTCCCCTCTTCTTGAGAGATAGGTCCAACAGGTAGCATACAATCTCTTCTGCTCTGTAATTCCCTACATATTATGGAAATATATACTACTCTTGCAGTGGAGATGCCTGATGTTTTGAGAGTAAGCTCACTTCAATAAAAAACCAGTTACTGTCAAATTGATTTAGACTCATGGCACTCTCGTGTGTCTCAGAGTAGAATTGTACTCCATAGGTCTTTTAATGGCTGCAATCTTGGCAGTACATTAGCATGTCTTTCTTTCATCTCTGGGTGGATTTGGACCACCAACTTTTTGGTTAGTAGCCAAGTGCGTATCTGTTTCTAATACTCAGGGGACTCCACTTGAGTTTTTTCTAACTAACCTTACTGCTTCAGCCTCCTTTTTCTTTATTTTAATGTGCTAGTTGCTGGGAAAGGATATCATGTTTGGTAAGGTGGAGGGTCAGAGAAAAAGAAGAAGACCCTCTAGTGAGATGGATTGGCAAAGAGGCACCATTGATGGACTGAAGTGTGGCAATAATAGTGAGGTTGGCCCAGGATTGGGAAGTGTTTCATTCTGCTGTGTGTAAAGTCACTATGATTTGGTACTGACTTGATGGCACACAACAACAACAGCCCTCTTCAAAATTGCAGTTCAGTAGTTGTGCGATGAGGGCTAGAGATTTGGTATATATTTTATAAGGCTTTTTAAGACATAGTGGTTCATTGGATTCAGCACTGGGCTGATAATAGAAAGAGCTGTAGCTCCAACTCACCAGCTGTTCCATGGAAGAGAGATGAGGCAGTCTAGTTCCATACAGGTTTACAATCTTAGAAGCCTCACAGAACAGTTCTACTCTGTCTTATCAAGCCACTGTGAATCAGAAGCAGCTTTAGGGCACTGGTCCTTTATAGGTCATTTTGGAAGTTTCTGAGTGGTATAAGGAAGCATATGTGGTACAGTGGTTAAAGGATTTAGTGGCTAATCAAAAGGTTAGCGGTTTGAACCCACCCATCATTCCATGAGAGAAAGATGTGGCAGTCTGCTTCCATATAGATTTACAGATTTAGAAACCCTGTGAGTCGGTTATATTTTGTCCTATAGAATCATTATGCGTTGGAATGGACTTGACAACAGTGGGTTTGCTTTGGAGTGGTGCAAGTGGTTAATGCTGGTTGGCAGTTTCAGTATATCTAAAAGTACCTTGGAAGAAAGGCTTGGTGATCTACTTCCAAAAATAAGTCATTGACAATCCTATGGACTATTCACAATAGTCAAAGGGTAGAAGCAACCTAAATGTCCATCAACGAATGAATGTATTAGCAAAACATAGTACGCACACACAATGGAATACTACTTAGCCATGAAATTAAGTCTTAATAAATTCCACAACATGGATGCAGCTTGAAGACATTGTGCTGAGTGAAATAAATCAATCAAAGATTGATAAATACTGTATAACATACAAAAATACAGGAACAGGCAAATATAGAGACACCAAGGTCTATTGAGGTTACCAGGACTGAGAGGGAGGGAGAAAGTAGGGGCTACTGTTTATGGAATAGTGATTTTTTATTTATAGTGAAGGAGAAATTGCATTTAGGGTTGATTTGATAACCTATTAAAGTAACTGCTGTCAAGAAGCTGTATATCTGTAAAAATTCCACTTGACAGAATTGTATGATGCATTTACAACAATGATTCGTTCTTGAGGCTGCTTATGTTGGCTAATTGTCTCTATAAATAACTGAGATTTTTTTCACTGGCACAGAAGAACTAGATGGCACCTGGCAACCAGTACTGAACATTTAGATCAAGGATTTTGTAGAATTTTGATCAAAAAGAGAAAAATGCAAGACAGAATTTCAAACTCATGTGAAACCCGTACTTTCTTGAATCATGGAGGTTGGGTGACTCCTGAAACTATTGCCCTGAGACAATCATCAAACTTTAAATCCAAAATATCACCTGAAGTCTTCTCTAAACAAAGAACTCATTTAGCTTAAATAGTAAAGGGCATCTTCCTGTAGCATTGTGCTCTTTTAAGATCTAGCTAACAGGACCAAATTAACAACAACAAATTGACAGCAGCAACTCGAAAGTTTAGACAGGAAATTTAGAGGGCAATGAATGAGCTTATGTGGATGGAGGAAGAACAATTCAGAAGAGGAAAGTGAGTATGGTTGCATAACTGTTGAATTGTTGTATGTTCTGCAGTGTATAGTCTCAACAACAACAAAAACAACAACAAAATAATATAAAATAAATTATGAAAAACTAAACAACCCTAGGGAGCTGTCATGAGTTAAAGTTGTCAACTCAATAACAGCTGGATTTTTTTTTTTTTTT